ATAATTTTTGATCAATTAAATTAGTTTTTGTTTTGATGGATGATGGAATTATATTATCAACTTGATAAAATTTCAAATTTTGGAATCTTGTTATGCTTATTGGCCAAAAATCTTTGCTCTCAAGAGTTCCTCCTACAAACTCTAATTCTTCAAGATTGATTAAACTTCCAATTTCAGAAATGTATTCCAATTTTGTTACAATAAAATTTTTGAATACGAGTCGAATTAAAGTATCTTTTTGCTGTTTAAGAACATTTATTAAATTTGCTCCATTTATGCAGAAATTATAAAGTTCGAATTCTCTTAATGCATTTTGAGCTTCAATCAAAGTATGAAGTGCTGCCATAGCTAATGTAGATTCTTCTGGACTTTTATGTGATCTTACACCGAATACGATCCTTGTTAAATTTTTAGCTATTAAAGAAAGATCGCGTACAAATTGAATTGCTCTTGGACAAGTATCTCTCCATGAAAAATCTACAACTTGTGATAAGCAATTCTCAGCTCCAGGATATGAAACGATTCCCATATAATCATTTGTTATATCTGAAAATTGTGAACTTTCTTCAAAATGTGCCTCAAGAATTTCTGAGAGCTTCACTCTCGGACTAACACTAGCTGATTCAATTGAAATATAATCAAGTCTCAAAATTTGTATCATCAAAAGTTTACAGATTCTTGCCGTTATTTCTTTAATGAAAATTTTATCTTTTTTGTAAGGTTTGTTTGATGTAAATCTCGTGACTCTGCGTTGCAATAATGTACCAAAAATAGCATTTCGAATTTTGATCGAATCTGTTTGTCGACTGTATTCTTTTGAAAATATATATTCACACCATTCTATCATAGCAAGTCCTAAATCTTGAAGATCAATTCTGCGGATAAATGCGACATAATTAAAGATAGGAATAGGTATCAGTGCAAATTTACGAGGCGTTTGTGAAATATTATTTTTTGTCTTATCCTCATTATTAATCAAGCTAATGATTAACATTTCTGTTAGCATGCCAGTTTTTGCGCGATCTCGAACACCATAATCAATATTTTCCTTCAGAGCCAACGCCAAACGAAATGGCTCCTTCCATAAATGCTTGATAGCATATTCGCACCATTGACGGTTCACCAATATCGAAGCGCGTAGTGCAATCTTATCTTCTTGTAAGAAAGTGAAGATGTTGGAAAGGCAATCGCTCGGTAAGCAAGCCATTATCGCCTGACTTCATTCATAAATTATGACCCACGCGTGACTTTTATACTGTAAGGCCTGTCAGAAATTTTCGATTCCAAAATTTTTTTTTTTAATAATAAATTCGAAATAGTTCATCCAAGAAATAAAAATAGTATTAAATTAATTTGAATTTGTTTCTTACTTTTTAAAGCCTTCAAAAAACGTTTTAATAGTAATTGACAGCAACCTAAAACAAAAAGGAAATGTTTATGAAGTGACAAAAATGTATCCTCTATTTAAAGTGTAATTCTCAATTTTTGTATCACGAATGTCAAATGTAACACGACATTAAATTTTTTGCACTGTACATCGTCAAAATTGAGAACTCATTGTCTTCCTGCGGTCGCCTTTTTGAAGATTTCAATGTAAAAATTGATCCTGTCAATCTCAAAGACGTCTTACGATGATCATGATCATAAACGGCGTATCATTAAACCTTTTTATACAAACTCTTCTTATCTTGTTTACAAATTTGACAGAAACATTGTTTCTGACGGTGTTTACGGCACATGATTTGTTAGTATGTCAGAACACAAAAAATGATTCATAATTACGTAATTTGCGCAAACATTCTTTAATCGTTATTATATACATATACATACAGTACGTACTGTACGTATGCCTAGATGTCATGTATCACGGGCACAGTCCCGAACATTTGTATTTATTAATAAAAAATTTCAGCCGGGGGCCCCGGTCAAAAACACATAATATTTTTTTTATTTTGAATGGTTATATACAGTGTATTAGTTATATATAGATCATGTCATCCGAGCTTGAAGTATTGAAACAGCGTATCATTGAACTTGAGGCTGAGAATGCCGAAATACCTGATCTTAGAAGAAAGATCTCTGAGTTCGATGCTGAGAGAGTTGATCTTAAAAGAAAACTCTCAGTGTCTGATGCTGAAATAGCCGAACTTAAGCGCATGCATACCGAGGTTCTAAGAGCGAATGGGGAATATAATGAGATGCGTGATGCTGAAATTGCCAAACTCAGGGCCGAGAATGTTGAGTTTAGAGATAGACTCACAAAAGTGGAACAGAATCAGTTACGAAATGACTCAGCCGAAGGCACTCAGGGTAAGGGAAATAATACCCCTAACAATAACTCATCTAACTTTGCTTTAGCGCCTTCACCAATTCGGGTGCAGTCCATCATGAAAAATCATCAGAGGAGAAAGAGGTGTTTAATTTCTTGCTTGAGGCTGATAAGAAAATCGTTGGTGAAGATATTAGGAGACACAATAAGGAAAAGAAACTTAGCAAAGCAGAGCAAGCATCTCTTAACCAAGATCAAGAATCTGACACCGGGTGCTCCACTTCTGAAAAGATACCAGAGGTATCGAATCCTGTGACTAAAATTTCAGCCGGGGCCCCGGCCAAAATAGCCATAGGAAGAAAGGTGCAGAAAACATCGTACAATTGATAGCTGGCGGTAATAAGGATGATGCCCAATCGAGCGACAAAACCATTCCTTGTGATGTGATTTCAATTGAGAGCCTTAACCAGAATTTATCTACAGATTCATTGCTTTCTCTAGCACAATTATTCAATAAAGCGGATGATGCCGAATATGGTGCAATTCGTGCTAATCAGGAAGAGATTTTGTGCTGGTATTATTATGGAAAGGAATTTTTAACCCAGGTTACTGTGATTGTACAAGATGGAAAAGGCAAAATAGGTGAAAAAAAGGCAAAGAGAGTAATCTATGATAAAATGTTGGAACACCTATCCAAGTTGCGAAAGCAACGATCTGAAAATACAGGATTATGTCTCCCAGAAATCTCCCGTAAAAACTTACAAAGGAAAACTCAGAAAGCTGTAAAGATATATAAAATATTTGAAAAGCTAGGCATAGGGAATATTAAGTATATTACTACATATAGTGCGAACTCTATTTCTGAGTTGACTAATGATAAAGTTCAAGATATCATAGAGGCCTCAGAAAGGCGGGATAATTTCTCTGAGCATAATGATAACAATGTGGAAGAAGTATCAAGTCACATGACTGAGGTTTCAGCTGGGGGCCCCGGCCAAAATCATGTAACCAAAAATCCTGAAACCAGAATCGGTCCAGTCGATTCGCCCAAATCTCAAGCAAGTGTACCATCCGCATCTTCTTGAACGCCGATTCCTAGGACTAATCCAAATAAAATGGAATGCCTTTACCAATATGCTATTGAGCATGGCCTCGATCCTGGGAAATTTTTGATCGTTACGGAGACTGATAAGAAAAGATGGGCTGGCGAATCCTTCTGCGGTATCTTGAAAGTTGATATGCGATTTTATTGTGGAGCAATAAAGACGAAGGAAGATCCTAGGAAATATCGTAAATTTCTAACAGATCGCGAGAGGATGATCAGTGAAGAGCTATTACGTCGTGATATTCTAAAGCACTATATGGCTTGATGATCTTATGAAAGAATAGAAAAAACCCATACCCAATTTATACAAGTTTTCAGTCAGGCTTTGAATAGTATCCCAATAGTATCTGTAAAAGCATAGATGGAAATCTTGTCATGTGGGCCAATCACCTGAAATGTGCCGGTAAAATTCTTGCCAAAGAATAGGGGCCGTGTGACGTAAGATCTGCATATATACATTTTTTTTCGACTTTATTTTTTGAGTCATGTCTCCAGCCACACTAGTATCATACTAACAAAACAATATTCGAATATAGTTAGTTTTCTTATTTCACATATGGAATCACTAAGAGATCATTAGCTGGAGGCATTAATCTTTCATTATTCTTTTATTGATTTGCAGGGGGATTAATGGATGACGAAATGTGGTGTGTAATTGCTAGTGAAGATCCGGGAAATGTTTTCTCCTGCGAAATTTACAAGAGGTATAAAAAGGGTATTTTTACTTTCCTTTGCTTATTCATAGACCCTAAAGATCAGAAATAGTAAGATGTCTTCTTCCTCCAGTCTTCCCAACCTTCAAAACCTTGCTTATAGCATTCTTAAAAATCTTGGAGACAAAATTGTTAGCGGTAAAGAATTTACAGAACTTGGAAAATGCTTACAATGTGATAAAGAGATTCTTTCTCTTAACTTTGAGGCATTTACTGTGTTATCCTGTGGCCATACGTATCATAGAGGATGTATTGAGAAAAATTATCTACTTATGCAAAAAAATAAATATCTTTTTCCTGATTGTACCGCAACCGTTGAGGTTGTAATCTCCAAACGAAGATTTTTTGTATCATCTCATTCGAGTATTTCATCAATAGTCAGGAGAATGAGCAATCAATTTCAGTTGAATTCGCCAATCCAAGAAGAGGTGTCAAATCAAGAAATGGACGTGGATATGAATAGAGAAGAAGAAATGCCGGAGGAAGATGATGATGGCGAAGAAGTAGAAACAATTCCTTTGAGATCAGCTCAATCCAAGCAATCTACCTCTGTTTTCCCAAGCAGTAAGAGTAAAAAACATACTAGGAAATCATTTACCAGAAAATCGTCTAACAAGAGGGCAAAAAAAACTGGTGGGAAGAAGAAGGTATCAAGCACACTAAAACAACTTATCGAAGAATTATTAACTGATAATCCCGATGGTGGTAGGGGCTTGGAAGAAATAAATGAAAGCGCAAGTAGCTTTTTACAACTCTCTGAGAGAATTGATCATGCTGAAACTAAAAACGAAGAAGCATCTTGAGGTCTTATTTTCAGTTATTTTAATTTTGGGGAAGCTGTATTTAAACGATACAAGGAATTAAAACCCGAGTTTGGCAAGAATGGATCTGAAGTGGTAGTTAAAAAAGAGGTTAGGGTGGCGATTCCTGAGACAAAATGCTCTGATGAAGCTTTGCGAAAAAGGACAGAGAGATCTGAAAAGGTTTATAAGCTTTTTAATACTATTGGTAAAGAAAAAATAGCCCAGATTAGATCTATTCCCCCATCATTCATCTTAAATCTAACTGTAGATGAAATTAAATATGTAATGGCTGAAATCTTAACGCATAAGGTTTGACGAGCTCGGACAAGCTTGTCCAGTCTCAGCTATCATTTTTAGGAGAATATGGTAACTTTGGTCCTTCTGGGACCCTTTAGTTAAAACGATTTAATAAAGTTCTGCTCCAACTATTCAGGGCTTATATTTTTATTTGCTTTGCGAATATGTATGAGTATGTGTAATACATTTGGAATATGCAATAAATAATTTCGTAAAATATGTGAAGTACTGTGCTATAAATTATCACTTGACATACTGTATTATGTCACATAATTCATTCTTCTGCACAGTTTTGACGAGCTCGGACAAGCTTGTCCAGACTCTACTATCAGAAAAATAATCTAGTCATATATATAGCGCTTTCGGAGATATATTTAACCTGAGCTCATATGTGTATCTATCAGAAATAGCCATAGGCGCTTCGCATAGGTTTTGGGAGATAAATTTAACCAGATGCTGATCCAGCTTCTGCTCAATTTTGATGAGCTCAGACAAGCTTGTCCAGACTCTACTATCAGAAAAAATAATATTTTTTTACACGTACATTTTAATCATTTTCCCGAATTCCATTAGATCAAAGACTATCTGGCTAAAGAAAAAATCTGAAATCAGATTGGCCGATCATCTTGTGATTTAGCCAGGATCTAGGGTGATATATCTGATATGATATACGTCATACCACAACCCGATTTAGCCAGGTGCCGTGCATATATTTGTAAATATAAGCTGAGAGATGGCTCTATATAATCCCGATATGCTTGTAATCGAATAAAGTTACTTATAAAAATGAATCTGATATTTATTATAGTATAATATTGCTAAATCAGCTAAAATTGCTAAAAAAACTATAAATCAATAAAATTATTATATTCTGTTATTCTACCAAAACGCTAATATGGATTTAGATAGTAAAGCCTATTCTAAGCTAATTGATGCATGGAATACTCATAGAGGCTCTGAAAATTATAGAAAAATACTTGAAAGATTACGCTCTTTAACAAAAAGACATGATTACGAAACACCAGAAATGTGGTGCTCTTGTATTTGTGATTCATTTAGGAAAATACTAGAAGATAACTATTCTTCGGGGAATATAATTCTTTCTAAGAATGGATATATTACGATGTATAGAAATTTAATTGAAAGAAGTGATAGAGTCCATGGTCTTCCATCAAATTACATATATTGTATGTGACTTCTTAGTTTTCATATCTGAAAATTCTCGTTTAGATGATTCCTATCGAGATAGCCACTTGAAAAGATGTATTTTTAGAAATACTATTTCGAATGAACATTGATAGGAGGAAATTTCGGATCTGGCAGTATAAACAGTATATATTACAAGAAGAGGCTAAAATGAAGCGTCTCCAATTGGAGCTTGCATCCCAATCTCTTTCATACTCAGAAAAGGATAAATTGGCATTAGTATTATATGATTCTGATTATTGTTCAACTAGCTATGAAACATATAAGCAGGTTAAAATGACTATAGCAGAAAATACTATGTCATATGCTCCAAAATTCAAGCCAGCTTATATTTCACCTACTAGACAAGAAACGATTTTACCAACTTCTTATCAATCATCGGCTCCAAATGAGACCATAAACGAAATATTTATCTCATCTTGATATGCTAAACAAAATAACTTATTATCGTCTATAAACTATCTTAATCAGCCCGTATTAAGATTAAGAGATGGTACAAAAATCACATTCGTTTAACTGGTTTAACTGACTGAGAAATATATTAATTATAGACTATTGAAGATTAATATCATTTAGCTAAAGGCGCAATGTATAACTTATACTTTATTTTTTTACGCTATATAATCTGCATACATGATCGCCTAGTATAATTGTGAAATGTATCACTTGTATAATTTATGCAGGATAAAAGTACACTATGCATGATCTGCCTATTCTGGGTTAGATCCTCCAATATTGTATAACTATTTTAATAAAGTATTTCAGGAAGATTAATGAAACGCTCTTGATTGTGAGACAATATAAATATCAGTTTAAAAATTTCTATGCAGTAGTTATCCAGCGAGCTTACAGGAATTACAAGAAAAGACCTGAATCTTCAGCAAAACGGATTTGGGAGGTGGTGAGGAATGATAGTACTCCTGATAGAAAGAAATTCTTAGGTATACTTGGATATTATCAGAAGGTAAAAAATCCTGAGACGCAAGAAGAATATGTTATAGCTTGCGAAGAGTTTTATGCTGATTTTAGAAAATATTACTCAAAATATATTGGAATAATTAATTTAGTCAAATTAACCCCCCATATGAGGAATATATTTATTGTTCTTCTAGTAGATGGATAGAAGCTAAGAAATATCAGTTAGAGCGACGATTGGATAGGGTAAGATACGGGCCCACTCCTGATTACTCAGGAAGATTTGTGTTAGAATTGCTATCTGTTATTAATTATCATAATATAAGTCAAATTCTAGTATGGCATGTGACATAAATTACTACGTTTTCGATCCTCCTTAAAATATATATGATGTAATAAGTGATACACCGCAAATCATTTGTAACTCTGTGTGACTGCTTGTGCAACAAATTAATTTCCACACATAAGAAATCGATCCCCCAAAATATTTCGAATTTTTTCCCTATCTGAATAGCATTTATTTATGAGTTTATTTCCTCCAATGCTAGAGGCTAGATTTTAGCCGAAGTGTAGTTGTATAATGTTACTAGGCCTTTATCACTGAGCGGTCGAGCAAGTGAAATAAAAAAAGTTCGTATATGCATATTCCCCAACACCTTTGCAATGTTGAGATCTACAATGCACATTCCGCATGTCTTACTCTTAAACAAAAATTTTGGCGTAAAGTATCTCTCCTATCTCTTTCCCCAACATGAATGTGAGTTAGAGAGGACGTAATTGGGAAATACAAGACATTTAAAAAGGCAGCATAGTGAAAAGGTATTGGAATCTACCATACATTATTTTTTACTTTGCCTAGCAAGCTTTATACTAATATTAACTTTTTTATTCTATTAAAACATGGAAGAATTCCTTTTAACGAGAGAGCCCCTTGATATTGTCAGAATCTCTACAGTATTATTTGTATGAGTAGAGCAGGGCAAATGGACAGGCGTTCTCGAAAGGAGGTGGAGAACTTTGAAAATGTTTTGGAGCGAGTTTTAGAACAAGTCTCCTTAGGGGATACTGAGCGGATAAGAAGCTTTGAAGTTTTGGTACTGGAAAAAAATTGGCGAAACGGGTAAGACGGAGTTTTTGTATAATAAATATGTGGATATGATGACTTGTTTTTTTAGGTTTTCTAGAAGGCATGTATGCTAGTGAATGGGTTATGTCCGTTGTGATATTATCACTTCCTGCATAACAGTAGCTAGTTATTTCTGCCCGAATATTGATTATTGAGCTTATTGCTAGCATTTTTTAATAGTTTATAAAAATGAAAACCTAATCTGATCTCGTGAATTGTTATTCACTTTAATTAACAAAATATGTTGAGTCTAAGATAAGTTAATTATATTTAGGTTGCAAGTGCCTTTGAAGATTTATATTCTCTTACTGAAATGAAGGCTCTGGTGATTAATGCGGAGACTTGGCCTGATGATGCAAACACAAATTTGCATTTTTTAAAGTGTGATGTTGGTCAGCTCATAAATGAGAGCACCAATTATGAAAAAACTATGTGGGAAAGAATTGAAATGGAGTTAGAACAAGTAAATGTTGAAAGCCTTGGATTCGACCATCCAATATGTTCCGGAGTCCTTGATATCAAATCCAAACCTTTTACAAAGATGCCTGGATCGTTTTGTGATGTTTTTAAGGAACCTTTCCAAAAATATAGGCTGAATCAGAATGATACGATAATGAATATCTGTAAAGAGTTCATCCATAATGAAAAAACGAAGATTAATGTAAATGATAAATTGAGTAATGTTGAATATGGGAGATGGTTAGATAATTCTGAAAAGCTTCAAACGATATCTAGACAGATATTAGAAGCATTGTAAGTTCTTTATTTCCTCGCATAGAAGATAAACGAATTTCTAACAATTAACAATGCTTTATAGGCTTAAAGTTTGGAGATCACCCAAATACGAAGCCTATTCAAAGAAGGGGAAATCAGTTAATGAAGAGTCATATGTTTGTGAAATACTTGCGCCTCTAATAAACATAGTGATGAGCGATTTATCTGGGAATCCAGTTGTTTGGGATATATGGTAAGTTAAAAAAGATTTTTAGTAACATGTATTTACAATATAATGATTATATTTTTTCCAATAGGGGTGAGAGAGGAAGCTTGGCTAGTGCTGTATGAAAAGATTCTCGTAAATTTGCACGAAAGCCTGACTAAATGACCATAGTACAACTAGGAAATAGCATAGAGCTTGAAATTGTATATCTAGAAACTGGTAAACCAAATTTCTCCCAAGACAAACGACAACGAGATTACAAAAAGTTGGTACGATTTTCCAAAGACTCCATTGATACTACAAGAAATATATCTAAGCTTAAAAGAATATTCAATCAATCATCCAAGAGACAGAATTTGAGTATATTTACCATTAACATCGCTGGTATATATTATAATTTATTTTGCATTTTGCTAACGAATGATAATTAACCTTATTTACTTTACATAAAATTGCAGGTGATGTTATAGAACTCTATACTATGCGAAAAGAATCAGGTATCTATAAATACTGTTTAATAGAGGAAGCGACAATTCCATTGTATATGACTTCCCCAAGTGCCATATACCCACTTATACATGCATTGATGACTCTGAGAATGGCCGTCGCATGTACAATTCACAAAATATTATATAGTTCCAACTCTGGGGATAGTGAACATAGTTTCAGTGAAATGGTAGTAACAGTATCGACTCCCAAAAATTCATAGAATAGAGATTTCATATATGTAATTTTTATTAAGTTATATTAATAATAAAGCAAGTGTACTATATAATATTTTTTTTCTTGGCAAATTTGCGGGACTGCGCGGTCTTGGAAAACACGTGATTTTTTACTTTTGAATATTATTATACTAATACTACATTACGCTAGCATGCAATCCAAAATAGATAAGACCGATTCATTAAAAATATGCATTGTTAGGCTCGAAGTCGAGAATGCCGAACTTAGAAAGAAGTTTACTGAGATTGAAGCCAGGAATGCTGAGCTTAAAGCCAGAATTGCGAAATTGGAAGATAAGCAAACACAGAACGAATTGATAAAAAATTTACTATCTGTATCACATGATAAAAACCATCAACTACAGTAGTTAAGGATCAAATTCACATGATTTGATAGATCTCTTACCAGATGTGATGCAACCCGCGATATAGGCGCGTAAAAATAGTACCACTATAGATGAATTTTGCGTACAAACTTTTTTTGCGCAAAACTATATCTATTATAATGTTCCATTCCGACTATAAATATATTATTGATAGACTACCCGAAAGTCTTGTCAAGAGAGTGTGTGAGAGACTCTTGCACCATTCTAAAGACTCTGTTCTACTAGAATCTATTTCCAGAAAGTCTGAACGAATTGAATCTTATTTGAGGCACACATTAGAGGTTTATGAGATTTTGTTAAATAAGAAGAAACATAAAACTATGGCTCAGGAAAAATTATTGCGCCCACGAAGCTGGCCAGAATATAATGTATTTTTAGCATTACTAGCTATATACGTTACAGATAATGGAGTCCAGACTGAAGAAATAGTCCATGATCATGAGGAAGAGAATAATCGTCGGGTGATGAATAAGCTTAAAGTGCTATCTCAGCACCTGCTCGATTATAATAGACGATCTTTTGGAAAATTCATGCAAGATATAGAAAGGGGATATAGAGAGCAGGTTACTGCAAATAAAAGATTACGATGTAAAGTTGAGGATCTGAAGATGCAGGTGCAGGAGGCAGAAAAGGAACTGGCATCTATGAAGTCGAATTCTTCTCATTAGTGAGAATACTTTTTTCCTTGTACTTCTGCAAAGTAAGATACTGGTCAAGATCAAGCGCTTTTTGAGGATCTATATAAATTAAAGGTTCTTTTATCTTTCTATATATCTACGAAAAAAGAATAGCATTTCAGAGGCCTTATCCAAGACAGAAAAGGACATGTGAAGAATATAAAGCTAAACTGGAGAAGGAAAACTATTATCTTCGTAGTGAATTGCAAACAGAAGTAGATCTTAACCGCCAGAATGAAAGTCGAATTAACCAACTGGAGCGAGATTATTTCTGGTGTGAACAAGAAATCCAAGTTCTCAATAGGGAAATAGAGCGTCTTGAGAATGCTTCGGAAGAGAAGATAGCAGAGCTAAAATCTGAAATTTCCAGTCTAAAAAATAAGCTATGTCAGGCCAAAAAGGATGTGTGTAATAAGGAAAAATATATATCTACCTTAGAAAATCGGTTGGTAGAATCCGAAGAGCAGGTATAAAAATTGCGATGCCGGATCAAGACTATCTCATCACAGAAAAATTTGCCAGAATGAGGAAATTCTCTGAACTTGTATAATTCAGATGATAATATAGCCACAATTATAGAGCTAGCGAATGCCATAGATGGTTTTGTGGATAATCAATCAACAGCTAGAGCGATCATGGCTGATCAAGTAAAAAGGGCCACAAGGCAGATTCGAAAAAAAGAACCTACCTTACAGCAAGATTTAATCCGTGAGAAGAGAAGGTGATATGATGCTGAGGCTGAGCGAGATAACAAAATTATACGAAGGCAACTTGCCGAAGGGGGATGGATAGGGTCGTTAGTGACCTTCAACAGTTGCGAACTAATGCTCAAAATCAGGTTAACAGAATGCTAGATAGGATAACGAAAAAGCAAAACCGTATAGGTGTGCTGGTACAAGAAAAATTTGCCTTACAATTACTATATTAGCGAAATGCCCACCATCTATAGTGAAGTAGAGGAGATATAGGTTTATTAGAGTAAAATCGGGATAGGCTTTATGAGCGATATAAGAAATGGAAAAATAAGACCCAAGCAGAGCACCAGAATAATTTAAATTTGCAGTGACAAATTTTAGTGCTACAAAATAATCCACCTAATCAAGTAAACATGGCAGGAATACCTTATCTATATTTTGACTGGGATGATAGTATCCCAGACTTTTTTGCGCAACTTAGACTAGACTTGCAGAATCGGGAAATAGATCCAAATGATAATGCAGGAGGTCCTCCAACAGGAAGAGATAATGCAATAGGACATTTAAGAGTCTGTATAAGAGGAAGGACTTTAGAATGGTTCAATGATGAGATTACTACAAAGCAGAATTGGGAGCTAACTAACTTATTTGATAATACAGAGCAGGCTAACTTAGTTGTAGTAAATGGGTGAACTGCATTACAGATAGGAGCTAATGCATTAAATGAGGCTGTTGGCCAACCAGGAAATGCAATAGTCAAGTTAAAAGCTGTAGAAAATGCTTGGAATGAAGACTAGCGTATAGCAGGTGGCCATCCTACTAATAATCCTGTAAATGCACCAAATGCTAATGCTAGAAATATAGTAGTTGTAGCTGGTATTCGATTTGGTCAAGCTATATGGTGGCTAAAAACTCATTTCCCTATAGTAGAAGAGGAACTTCAGGATTTGACGTATGGAACAATTATAAAAGGAGACATGACTATAGGTGAATTATATAGAAAAATATTACGAATAGGTAAACGAGCCAACTATAGGCTGAAGAATTACGTAGAAAGTTTTTAGATGCTCTTCCACTCTCATGGTTTGAAAATGCTAAGGATATTAGTGAACATTTGCCATTAGATGAATTAGCTAAAAATCTTTATAAGATAGAGTTAAGACAAATTGCTAGACATAAAAGAGATAGAATATCTGATCTGCTAGTATCTAATCGAGCATCTCAGCAAATATATGAATCTTCACCTGTTTCAACCTCACAGCAACATGGAATTTCTTTAGAAGATATGCAAAAAGCAATTCAAAACGCACTAGCACAGCAAAAAACTGAACACCAGTCTTTATTAGAAAAGCAAAAATCTGATTTTCAATCGCAAATGGCTCAGCAAGTATCTACTCCACAAACTGTTGAACCAGTTAGACAACCGAGAGGTCCACCATCTTCATTACAGACCAAAGAAGGTCTCAAGAATTATTATATATCAGAATACTTAAAAGATATAGATGTACTTAATAAGGCTGAACTAGACGCAGATTATCCTGCAAAAAATTTTCAAAGACCTTGTCTACAGCGAAGCAATGTCTCTGTTAGAATTGATAGAGTAGAGGAGGGGATAAATGAAACTCGTAATGCTGTAAATCAACTAACAAATCAATTTCAGAAACTAAATATACATAAATACGATATTTGTGGAGAACCAGGTTATAGTAAAGGTAGTTGTCCCAAAAGAGAGACAGCACGTTCTAATTTTAATCAGACTTATTTTAAGCCTCTCACACCTATAGTTCCTCCCGATTCAGATGGTGAGGAAAATGATGGGTATGGTTATAATGATGATGAACAAAATAGATGGTATGAACAAAATAGATGCTATGATCTACCGGTAAAAAAAAACAGGTAAATGAGCCAAGAGACACTTTGCATAAGTTGGCTGGTGATAATGCAATCTTATCTCTAGAATCTAGCCAACCTGAAACATATGATCAGTTATTGTCTAAGCTCTCACCGCCAATACGAAAAATGTGCTTGTCTCGAAAAACTCAGAAGGAGGAATCAAAAAAATCAGATGAGTGGTTGTTATCTTTACAATATCTGAATGCTAATATAAATGACTTAACTATTTCCGAATCTTTTTTAGATCCCGGCAGTGAGTTTGGTGGTATAAATGACCCAGCAATCAAAGCACTTGGATAGAAGGCTGATAAACCATCTAATTTTGCCATAAAGGGTAATTCCAAGCATATCACCGATTCATTAGGATGGTATACTGATGTGCCGTTACCTGGAAGGATAAAGAAGATAAGACGGTCACAGTGATTGGAAATTTTGTTCGTATTGATAATGGTAAAATAGAACCAATGCTATTTTTTGGTATGTCAAACATTCGAAAGGTTCAAGGCATCTCCGAGCCAAATAAAAACCAGTTTCGCATAAAGTTATATGGAAAGACATATATTATCCCAACCTTTAGCAAGGCTCTGGTAGTCAAGGATTCGCCAAAAGAAAATTAGGAATCAGCTAATTCTTCTAATCTGACTAGTGAGAAAGACTTAAAAAAAAGTGCGAAGAGCTTGAAAAGCACCTCATAAAGACTGAAGAAATGCTCTATTTGGCCTTAAGTACCGGTAAATTTCTTGCTGATACATGTAAATCCTTATATAAGAGGAGTATTAGCTATTAAACCCTTAAGCTTTTCACCATGATTAATTAGATTTTTAAAAAGAGATTCTGCCCTGTCTTCTCAGGATGTATCAGACGAATTATCAGAGGAAGAGACCATGCCATTTTTGTTATTTTTTTCCACCATACTAGTTGCCTCAGTAACTGGCTTTTCATCTATTTTAATCTTCTTTTTTCAACCATTCTTTTTTGAAATATCTGTAGCCGGAAGGGATATAGATGATACTGCTTTAAGAGTCTGTTCTGACTTATCAGATTGGGAATTTTTATCCAAAGCAGGCTGATTAGAAGAAGATAAAATAAGTTCTTGTTGGAGACATTCACTATTGTTCCATATTTCATAAATACGCCGAGCACCAACATGAAATTTTTCAGCTATTATTTTTGATGCATTGGGTATCCTGCCTCTGGATTCTCTAATTTCCTTGATGTCGGCTTCTAATAATAGAGTGGCATTAGATCGATAAAATTTTTCATGGAGATGGGTGACCATTTTTTAATTAGAATATATATGCAAAAAAAACTACCAATAATTTTTTCAATACCTTTCAATATATATCAATATTTCTGGTGATCAATATATATCAATGCCTTTCAATATGAATCAATTCCTTTCAATACGAATCAGTGCTTTTCAATACATATCGGTATCCTTCAATGCATATCAGTATTCTCTTTCAGTGCGTATCAATAAGTATGAATATGTCTCAATGCCTTTCAGTACGCACCAGTAATCTTTTTTTCAATGAGTATCAATAAGCATTAGTTTTGTCAAAAATAATCCAAGTTTAAGGCCCTAGCTGATTTTTTTTTGCCTAAAAAAAAATACCAATAAAATGCCCCAGATCCGTACCTTAAAAGATCTGGATAATAGTAATAAACTTGGGGATACTCCAGCTAATTATTATCCACCCAGTCGAACAGATCTTGAAGAGCAACTTTTTTGTGCAAAAAAAGATCGTGAAGTAGCTATTTATTGGGGAAGTCAGTTTGCAGATAACTATGATGTCTTAGATAGAGAAAACAAGCGCATGCAGAATGACTTGGATAAATCTAAAAATGAAAATGAAAAACTTTCCAATCAGGTGCACCAACTTGGAGAAGAGATAAGACAATTGCATTTAGATAAAAATGAGCTTATGCTTCAGATTACTCACAAGGATATTTCTCTTGCAGATGCTGAAAGCAAATTCTTTATAAAATCGGAAAAGATGCAAGCCTTCTAATCCAAAACAAAGGAAAAAATACAGGCTCTTCAATCAAGAGTAAAAGAATTAGAGCAGGATGCTTCTTTAGCACAAAATGAGATATCAGAAATAGTTTCTCTCAAACACAAATTGGAACTGAAAAATATGGAACTAACTACTGAAAATATTGGTCTAAGTTTGGCAAAAGATGACTTAGAAGACTTATTGACCGAAAAAAAAGATGAATTGGCACAAATAAAAGATGATTTAGTCATAGCGCAAAAAGCATTAATAGAAAAAGACTCCCTCCTTCAAGAAGCTAATGATCGTTTAGCCAAGCAGATCTCCCAAACATCTAGCAAGTCTGAAGTGCTTGGAGGTGATAAAGGACTGGAGAAAGGTATCGAAATCACTAGCCCTAAAACAACCTCGGATTCACCTTATTACTTATTTTTTCAGTATGCAATCATCTTCGTAATAGTATTACTAATCATATGCATTTTATAGTGCATATTCTCTTGTAATTCTTCTTACAATGAAGAAAAAAATATTTCGAACTATAAAATACCCTTAAATAGAAATCAGAGTTATGGATTCCCAATCTGATACACAGAAGAACCAAAAGACAGGACTGCCTTCTATGAAACTTCGTCTTTTGGATATGGATGAGGCCACTAAATATGAATTATCCTGAAATATTAGACATCCAGCAATAACATGGCCTTTCAGCATGTTGGTCACTGGGAGAAGTGGTTCAGGTAAGACTAATTTACTTGCGAATCTTGTTCTTGGTGATAAGAATGAATATGTGCAAAGAGAGAAGAAAGGTGGGTCTCGCTACATCAAATGTAATGATCTAATTGTTTGTGGGTATCATCCTGATGAACTGAAGTGGGCATATGTGAGATACATATATAATATGATTTCGAAAGACCCAAGAGTACCTTACTATGAGAATATTAGTTTCAGTTATATTCCACCTGAAAGAATTCCTAGTACAAGAACATTCTCACCCGAAAGAAGTAAATTATTTATTTTTAAGGATCTGTGCCTCGCTCCAGATCATATACAAAATTGTATTGGTCAGTTTTTTGGGAATGGGCATCACCGAAATATTTCATGTATATATATTACGCAAAAGTATCATAAAGTCGATACATTCAAACGTGAAAACTCAACTTATTTAGTATTATTTAACTCTGGAAGCAGTATCCAAGACGTGTCTAAGATTGTTGGATGATATACTAATGATATAAAGGGTGCATCCATGATTATTAATAGTTACCTTCAAAAAGGCGAGTTTGTTATATTTGATCCCACTAGGCCAGAAAATGATCCTCTTGCAATCCGCCTAAGGTTTGACACTCCACTGAACTTACAAAAGGAGATAGAGGCTAGGCAGAAGCGCAAGAAAAAGAGCGCCTCAGCTAATGAGTAGAATCTAACTTCATAAATACTAACTTTTTTTCATAATTATAAAAAATTAGAATAGGGGAATATCTTTAGAAAGCTCGAGAGCTAAACCAAATCATAGCAAAACAAACACCTATAATTAATATTGATCCTCAAAAAGCTCATGATTTAAACTGGCATCTTGCTTTGCAAAAAATATATTATTGTCCTGAAAGTCTTTATCAAAATATTAAGGGATTATGGGATACTTGTAAAAAAGCTGGCTACAGCTTTCCATTTATTGATGTAAAAAAATGGCTTGATAGGCAAGCAATGTACCAAATTTTTCATCCTTCACCAAAGCATATACCTTATGCCAGTTACTCTAAAATCATGAAGCCAAATACTGTGCACCAATGTGATTTGATCGAAATACCATACGATGAAAATGTGGATACCAATTTATTACTAGATGATGGCCCAATATTTTACTATATACTATTGGTTATAGACTGCGCGACTAGATATAAAGATTTTGTTTTTTTAACATCAAAGAGCAGTGAAGAAGTTGCAGAAGCATTTAAAAGTATATATGATAATCCTGATAAACCTCTTAACTGGCCTCGAAAATTGCAATGTGATAAGGACACTGAGTTTATAGGATACATGACTTTATTAATGGATGAACATGGCATTGAGATCTGAAGAATTATAGCATGTTTCAGGCATACAAGCTTGGCTATGGTCGACCATTATGCTGGATTATTCGAATTAAGAGTTTTTAAAAATCAGTATTCGATAGAGTTTCTCCTGCCTACTGGCAAGCGCTGTAGAGAATGCGAACGATTTGCAAGGAGAATTGTTGATAATATGAATGATACTCCAACCCGGCTAATTGGAATGAGTCCTAATAATGCCACAAAGATTGAGCAGATATATTTCAAACCATCTGTAAAATATAATCGCCCAATAGGTATTGATGAACCACAACTACCAAAGAGTACTACTGTCTGATTCTTGCTTGCTTCTGGAGAATGGGAAAATGATCCTTTTGAAAAACGCAGAATAACAGATCTGATATAGTCTCCTAGCCTACATAAGATCCAGAGAATTGTTGTTGAAAAGAATCCTCCCATGCCTGTTTTATATTACTTAGATGAATCGAGACCTCAATGCTCTTTTGTGAGAGAACAATTGATGTATATTAAGGAAGAGCCCATGTTACCTCCTAGGTAGGTATTAGGAGATAACCAAATATATACAAGGCGCCTCTTATAAAAGTTTCTAAGTCTACTACACAGTAAGGGATTGTAATAAGGATTACTCCTTCCTGATAACATAACACTCTCTTTTCCCAATTACGCCAGATTTGTGTGTTTAGATTCATCTGACCTTGTGGGTGAAAAAAAGGGACAATTTGGTAATGTTGATTGCCACTATATTCAAAGGCCAAACCTAACTCTTCATTGTATCTATCTAGATATAATCCCTCCAAGAATTTAGGCTTTCGGGGTAGAAATTTTTTATATAATAAATCCTCAAATATATACCGGCATGTTCTTTCTGGTATATTAGGACAAATGTTGCACTATTTATAATTCTGTTTCATATTTTTATATGGCGCCTCCCATTAATGACCCTTTTTATATAACCATAAATATGTATTAGGACTAACTTTATCTAAACATCGTTCTTCATGTCTTTGAGCATATGCCAGAGCTTTAGTATTCATTTCATCTTGCATTTTATAAGTATAATAGAATATCATGTACAGAAATTTGTGGTAGTGATTATCAGCTTTGGACTAATTTATTCAGAACAAACAAGTGGGCCAGGCCCGGAGATTTTTTTTTTTTGCACAAGCATGACAGTATATACAAGAAACTAGTATAAAATAACAGAGAAACTAGCAAAGTTCAAAATAAAAATTTTATATAATCTTGAGTAAATATGCTTGCTAGTAAAATACTGGGTTAGTGGTAGTACCCAGCGTCAAGCCAAAAGAAAGTAAACGATGTGGTAGTACCCCAAAGTGATTAATGTGCAAAGTGATTGATGTAGTAGTATCCCAAAGTTATTGAGCGATGTAGTAGTACCCCAAAGTGATCAATGTGGTAGTACTCCAAAGTAGTTGATATGGTAGTATCCTAAAGTATCCCAGAGTAGAAACTATACGGGAAAGGGTTCTAGGAATGTAAGGGCAAAAAATAAGGTATAAAATTGGTAGTACACCAAAGTAGAATAATATATAGAAAGAAAATAAGAAGTTATGCTTTGGTGTACTACCGCTGATAGGCAGAAAAGAGGTCAGGAAGGCAGAAAGGTTCAGGAGAATATACAAAAAAAGGTATGAAAGCAATATAGCCTGAACTAATTCGACACTTCATGCCTCATCCTCGGCATCCAAACCGGCATATGGAACTGGTGAACTAGGTATACCCCAAGGTAGTAAATATGCAAAAAGAAGGTCTAGAAGCAAAAACAAGCGAAAAAATAGTAGGCCACTCAAGCAGAATTATATAAGGAAAAAAAAAAAGTTATACTCGAGTAGCCTACCACTGATAGGCAGGAAAGAGACTAGAAAGGCAGAAAGGTTCAGGAGAATACATGAAAAAAGGTATGAAAACAGTATAGCCTGAACCAATTCGACACTCTGCATATGCCTCACTCAACAATCAAAAAGGTCATACAAAGCAGAATTGCAAGAATGGGCATAAATTCGGCATTTCATGCCTCATCCTCGGCATCAAAAGGGTTATGGAAGGCAGGATTGCGCATTTGGGTCACCAATTTGGCACTTCATGCCTCATTTCTGGCAATCAAAAGGGTCACAAAAGGTGGGATTGCGCATCTGGGCTACTAATTCGGCACTTTATACCTCAACCTGGCAATCAAAAAGTGAGTGAATGGATTGCAGAACATCTTCTGCAAATAGATGGATTGCAAATTCGGCACTTTGTGCCTCATCCGGCAATTAAGAAATGGCAATTGAGAGGGAGGCAACTATGTGAGGGTGTTCTGGCACCAGAACAGTATCATGTGACTGGCACAGTAAGGCGCAGTATAGATTCGCTTAATTTTGCTTAGTACTATAATCCATATTTTTTGCCTAAACTTCAGGATGCAATATCTTGGCATCCAGGTATCTGATTCATGCGATCTTAGCATCATTGGAAAGCTCTCAACGCCCTCATCAGAACGAGTATAAAATCGCACGAACCCAATCATGGGAAGCCAAGATATTCCGCCCTAAAGATCGGCCAGAAATTATGCCATAGTGCTAGCCAAAATCTGATCCGCAAATTAACTGTGCCATTCGACGATTTTTTTACACTATTTTAGCAACTTAAAAGGCCAGCAAATGGGCCACATTCTCGGCCTCAAATATGGCAACCAAAAAGGTCATAGAGTGAAAAAACCAACTTTACTCCTATACAATTATTAAAAGACTCCAGAATGGAAAAACAAACATCTGCCTTATTTAGCGACCAAACAGTCACAGACTAGTGAAAACAGATGGGTAGCAATAAAGCATCAGAAGGGGCATAGACATGTAAAAATAAGTAAGTAGGCATTAATATCTATAAGTAGGCATCACTATGGTGTAAGTAGATAGATTAAGTAGATATCACTATATATATAGTGATATCTACTTAATCTATCTACTACTGTTATGTACGATACATTCATGTTGATTTTCATAGTGGTAATATTTTGCTAGACAAACGTACTAATAAAAATGCACAATCTTATATAGCAGGTCTAGGATTATCTAAAGGCTGATCAGGTAAACAGCAGTTTATACAAGTAGCAGATATTATAGGTTTGGTATTATTATGACAGAAAGGTTAACCAGACAAAGACTTTTTAACAGAAATACTGAAACAACATTAAGGGGAGTCTTTATAAATATTTAAGAACGAATTTTAGTAAACTTACATAGAAGACTAAATTACAAATACTTAAGGTGAGTTAGATAATATTCACCATTATGCATGATATTCATGCTGATTTTCATAATGGTAACATTTTGCTAGACCAACGCACTAATGAAAGTACGAAGTCTTATATTGCAGGTCTAGGATTGCCTATAAAAAAAAAGGGTCATATTCCTTTTCCTTAAGTTTAATCCGGCAAACAGCAATTTACACAAGCAGCAGATATTATGGGCTTGATATTATTATAGCAGAAATGTCAACCGGACAAAGGCCTTTTTTTTGATAGACACAAAACTGTTTGTAAAGGACTGCGCTTAATTCTTTTTCTGGTCTTCTGATCGCTATGTTGAGTTGACAAATCAATGCACGAATTCAGATCTACAAGAACAGTTAGTGCTTAATATATTTATAGTGGAAGTGAAAAGTTAGCTTTAGATGATGAAAGCGAAATCAAAAAAAAAAAGTTCTCAAATGCTAATAAAATTGTCATTACCTCCTCAAATCACTTTAAGTATATACGATATTAAACTTACCTATAAATATACAAACTTATTGTTCTTTATTTAATATTTAAATTATTGAATAATTAATTACTTTAAAATATTTGATAATCTAAACGTTAATACATCAAATTTTCAATAAACTTATTTGGATATTCATCATCAATTTTTGATATTTAAAAATTGAGCAAACAAATATTCGATTAATTAGTCTTTGACCAGATCAGGCTTCTATTTGGTAGTAGTAATATTGCAGTATACTTAATTTCGGTTAACTCAATCTATATACTGTCCAGCGGACATGATTATCTAGTTCAGTCTGAATCCGAGTCTGGTCTGGTCTGGTCCGAGTGACAACACTGTCCTCGGGTACTTCTATCAAGAAGCATTCTTAACTCAGAACCTTAATGTTTTTACTAATTTGTATATACCCCGCTATATATACTATTGTACAACGTCTACCAGTTATAATTCACTCCTCATTACTTATCATATTACTCCTAATTCATTTCTTGTATAACTTCCAAATTGGTGTTCTAGGGGTGAGCGCTCTTCTTGCTTCCAGTTTGGTGTCTCTCAAGATGTTACTTCAGTTCTTAATCTATATCTCAAGCCAGGTGCTGCTGCCGTCTAAAGACTCGTATCTCAAGCCACCTGCTGCTACTATTAGAAGAGCTATTCGCATGGTTCTAGGTATTCACGTTATACACCACCAAATTAGGCTACCGCTCCTTTTATAGTATTCCTTATTAGTATAGTATTACAGAAGTCTAGATTCTTAGAACAGAAGTTGAGTACCTCATTTAATTACTGTCACAAGCCAGTAACCCAGGACCTGTGCTTTTGCCATATTTCGTCATACTTCCATGACTCTCATATAGGTTGTGCGACACATTACTTACTGGCTGACTTTATTTTTGTACTACTAGAGCGCTTACTTTCATGCTTATTGGGGTTTCTTTTAGCCAGTTTTCCTTGTTTCCTTGTGCCAAAGGTGTTTTATATTTGGTAAAGCTATTCTTTTACCATAGCCCCTTACTATGTTCACCACTTCTTTTACCACTTCTGGATATATTGCATACAGCCGTTCTCCCAATCAAGATCCCAATGCTGCCTTAGGGTTGTTGGTGCTATCTTGCCAATTGTGAATTTACATGCACAGCCTTCTGCAGTATTACCTTATATGATCCATGTCACACACAGTGCCCAATCTTTTTCATAGCTCAGAACTTCTTCCAAGAATTCTTTATCAGCCAAATATGTACTT